CTGCAGGCCGGGCGGCCAGCCAGGGCCCGCGCGCTTACCTGCGGTCACACCCGGAAAGCTCACCTATGTGGCTTTGCGTGATTTAACTTGCACACACGTTGCGTGGATAAATAACAATTTTAGGAATATGACAGGAAGACAATCAATTTAGAAATAGAATCAAGCAGTCTTTAAAACCAAAACCTGGTTTTTAAAATACCTCTTCTAAAATGTAAATAATTTACATAGACTAGGTTAACAATATAACACTATCAAATTACTCTAAAAACAGTGCAGATTCCTTTATATTAAAATGAATCATTAACATAAAAATAAAGAGCAAATTGTAAAATAAATAGATTGAAAAGAAATTCAGAGACCCACAATTAACTGTCAAATTATGGGCAAATTATATATCCAACAATGAAAATTTAAGAGACATACAAAACCGATTATCCAAGAAAAGATACTTTTGGAAATTCTTCTGTATGAGCATGTTGTTACATAAATACAGAGAATTCATATCCTAAATCAGCAGTTTGAAAGTCTGTTTTAGGTTACGTATTAAACTAAAATGAGTGGGCTACTCAGAACTACAGGTACTTTCTTACTGAAAGGGAAAAGCAAGTTCATTAAGCAGTTGCCCCTTAATCTAGCCTACCTTATTTTTTGGATTGGATGTGTTCATTACACTTCGAGTCTCTTTTCCAGTATAAATGACAACACCTATTACAGTACCTGCAAAAACATGAAAGGGGTCCTTACAGAGATACTTTAAAGNACAACACCTATTACAGTACCTGCAAAAACATGAAAGGGGTCCTTACAGAGATACTTTAAAGGTAAGCACAGAGATTATACTTTCTAATTAATAATTCTGATGGAAAATATTACACCATTTAATTTCATGTAAGCGTATCCAACAGCATACTTGATTTGTTCAAGAACACGTAATAAACTCTGAAAAACTCAAGGTTACCTACATTAGTCTGAGAATTCGCACTAACACTGTGAGCACAGAGTGCAAGGTTCATCCATCAGTGTCTACTAAGGGGGTAATTCTAACACTGATTTTAAATGAAAAGAAGCCACATTCTTAACTGGTCAGAGTCATCATGTGACCTTCAATCCACGATAGTACCGACCACCAGCTTCTGTGAAGAAGAGTCTACAAATATTTTCACTGTAAAGATTAAAGCCCTGAGGTGTAAGAGCATCTGCTGATATTTCAACACCTATACAATTTAAACAGTTAAGAGAAGTATTATCAAAATATATTTGATTTTCAATTTAGATATTAGTCTCTTTTATTCACACCTCCTGAAAGACTGGCTTTCTAATTGTACATGTTAAGAAAAAAACGATAATTTTGTAGTCCATCAAACTTAAGACAAAAGAATCATAAAATGTCCCAGAACAGCCCATTGACAACACAGGAGATGCAGAGGTGTCATCTCTGAACTGTCCAGCTGAAACCATGGATGTCTATTTCCAGAACTGTAGCTGTGCCTAATTTAAAACCCTAACTGCAAATTTTGAAGGTGGGAAATATGATAAAGGTGAGACAGACAGTCAACAACCACTGCAGGATTAACTATGATAATGAAGCTCTGATGTCGCATTAATTTAAGGTGTGCTATTAGCCAGGATCTCCTGGGCGTAAAGCACAATGACAGCTCATGCTCCACAGTCAGGGACAGACCGCCCCCACAGGGCGTTCAGGAGACAGAGTGCTCGAGCACTGCTCAGCAGTGATAGCTGCAGAGGGGACACATTATTTTCTTTTTTAGCATAAGCGCCCCCACCTTTCAAAAATGTGTGTCACTGTGGAAGCTGTGTCCTTGAAAGCAGAGTGAGCCCTCACTTGGCACTTAAACTAACCACTAACCCAAACCACACACATGCTGTCTTCCTATGTTATTACCCAAGTAAATGTCCTAGGCTTCTGTCTGTACTTAGTATATAGAAAATATTAATACATGATGATATAATACTTTAAAAACTTTCCTAATTTGCCAATTAAGTTTAACTTCCTAATGTGTAGGCAGGTGACTAGCAGTGTTGACCCCAGGCTGGCATCACACTTTAAAGTGTCCCAGATGAAGTCTGAGAAATGACAAGACTAACAGAAACACTGTATTCAGACAGATAAAGATGGAAATCAGTATTTGCATGTTAAATATAACATACATAAATATTTGACAGAATTCCTTGTGCAATATAACCTATTCAAGTTTGGTAAAGACTCATGCATTATCTCATTTAATTCTTACTAAAAATGAGTACTTGCTGGAGTCAGAATAGTGCACATTTTTCTGAGTCTCTCCTTCATTTTAATTACTAAAATTACTGGAGTCAGTACAGCATATCTGGAATACTCTCCATTCTCTTTGACAAAGGCTATGTATTTATAGACTAAGAGAATGACTAGACCTGTGTAAGTGGCAAAAAGAAATATGGGAAAGGAATTACCTATTAATTTTGAAAATGAGACAGTAAGATATAACACATTCACCAGACTTAAGGAAAGCTTGCGTATCAGAAAGACAAGATGTTGTAGAGAGAAGGACAGACAGAGCAATTAAGCAACCAGAGTCTTTTTTCATGATAATTACACGCCCAGAACCTGCTACACACAATAGGAAACTGCCAGAGCCCCTATGGCAACGGGATGGGCTACAATTTACGGATGCTTTCCTGGAACCACTCTCAACAGAACCTCAGTACAAGCTGCTCAGGACCACCGAGCGTCCCTGTGTGGGGGAGGGGAGGGGATATGGGGAAGGAAAGAAAGACAGCAGTGACAGGAGACCAATGACCACTACACACCAGCCAGATACAGGCTCACACCCCAATGAAACTGATGAATTAGCCTGAGAAAACCTACAGAGAGATGAGGCAGGGACACAGTGTCAGATGGGACCTGCACCAGGTCTGGGCTCCACCAACCGTGCATGTCTGGGGAAGGCATCAGACCAACAGAAAGTGGGCAGAATTTCTCCACCTACCTCCCATCCCCTGCAATTGCCCATGAGACAGCAGGTTTGAGAATCAGCAACTCCCACCCCTGCTGTGGAAGATGACATACTCCATGCTGTGGTGTGTCCCGCCTCTCCAGTGTGTTCAGCCAGAAGCTGGTTTGTCCCTGTCCCAGAGCTCCAGGCTGTCCCTCCAGGGCTGTCCTCGTGGAACAGCTTCTCGGGCTACCCCAACCCTAGACCAACTAACCTAGTTCTAGAGCAGGGGCCCCACAACAATAAATGATAAAGGGCCAGGTTTTATTTTAAAATTATTAATATATTGCGAGGACGAGTTATGTAAAATACCACAACAATAAATTAACATAAGAAATAATATAAAAACAAAAACAAGAAAATATATGCCCCAATTTTTCTAACATTAAATTCTTCATCAATTGCTATAAAAATTTCCAAGTGTTTATCACAATCACTGTCAGTCCTGGCCCCTGTCTGCTCATGTCCAGCAGTCCGGGCCCTGGGCTGGTCCAAGCTGCAGACTTTCAGGCCTGTCCATGCCCGTGAACTGCAGTGTACGTCTAATAACGTCTCCACACAATGCAAGGCATTTTGGAGTCACCCAAAAATACAAAGCATCACCTATTATGTGAGAATTAACTATAAACAATAGAGCTTATTTCTTACCTGATGCAACAACTGTGCTTGCCCACAATGTATTTTCTATGCTGAGACTCTCATGAATGGGTGGATCACTGTCTTCCTGTTCAGGAAGAAAAAAGGAAAACAATACTAAATTACCAATTTTTATTACTCACACTTCAGATACCTACAGTGTTAAAAACAAGTCCATACGCTGGATCCAGCTGACCAGAAGTGAAAAGGCACTGCAAAGACAGATGGAAAAACAAGGGAATTGAGACAGGATTCTGAGAAGATGGCAGAGCAGGAAGCACGAGGAATTTCTCCCCACCTGGACAACAGCTACAGGGCACAATCTACCTGATACGACTACATGTTTTGGAGCTCTGAAGTCTGTTGATGGCTTGCCTGGTAAATTCTGGTTAATTTGGGTCCATTTCAGGTCTTAGCACAGGCACAGTTGCCCAGCCCCACCCCCAGCTGCATGGCACGTGGCTGTGCACCTGCTCCTATTAGCTCTCACACAACATGGGAAACAGGTGGGAAGAAAGAACTGTCCTCCGAGCATAGGGGACCCTGTGCTCTGGGCATCCGGGGGCAGAGGTGGGTGGCTATTCTCTTGCCTCTCCCCTCCAGCTCAAGTGACTTCTAGAAGATTTAAAGGGCCAGTGCCCCCCCTTCATTTTTCTATTTCCCACTCTGGGAGCCAGACATTAGACCAGCACACTAAAACAGATACAGGGAAAATAGAAAGTGACTGCAGTTGACCAAGGGAAAGTCAGAAACGACACAAGGAGATGTTAAGTTTACGCCGCAGGCTGATCCTTGGCACAAAGAGAGCCTACAAAAAACAACAACAATAACTAACCAACCAACAAACAAAAAGCAGAAGAAAAAAGACCCCAGCAAACCCTGAGGGACGGGAAAAATTTGACTTTTGGGGTTACCACATTATTATATTCAAATCTCCAGTGTTCAACAAAAAAATAAGGCATAACAAAACAAAGTATGGTCCATTTAAAAGAAAAATATAAATCAACAGAAACTATCCCTGAAAAACACCTAATGGCAAATATACTAGACAAAGACTTTAAAAAAATATTAAATATGTTATAAAAAAAAAAAATGTGGATAAAGTCAAGAAAATGATTCATGAATAGAGAGATAGAAAGCCTAAATAGAAACAAAAAAATTCAAGCACCTGGCATAGATAGGCACTCTAATGTGTCTAGTAAGTAACTGAATCAAAGCTCACACAAGCATGGGACTCTTGCTCTAATCTCCAATGGCCCTGACCACAGCAGGCAGTCCACTAAGTCAGCAGCCCACTGTTAGCCTCAGCCACCCAGTTTCTGTGCATGCCTGTAAGTAATCCTTTAGGCCACCCTGCCGCAGCTGCCCTTCTTCAACTGACCACAAACCCACAAATGAGTACGATTTTATTAGTTTAAAACTCTCCTATGGTTCCCTTAATATGGAAATTTAAACTTACTAACACAGGCATATCTTTTAGTATAGTATTTTCCCATTGTATCAGACTCCAAGAGAAATAAGGGCATTAAAAAATGTAAAACACTTTAAGGCTTTCTGAACTGCAAATAATAGGTTCTGTGCTATTTAGTTTTAGGAATTTAAGTTGGTTCCCCATTACCTCCTACAGCTGCCGAATTATGCAAATGCTCCCTACTTCTCGCACAATTACGTGCTGAAGGACACACACTATGTTGTTTCAATTCTGTACTAACAGTGATGGACTTTAAACATTAAACACGTTTCTTATATCAAGAAATTTACTGTAAAAGTTAGTTCTTTACCAGTCTCATACAGCACAGAACGAAGCTACAGAATTTGGAAAGATGAAATCTGCTTGGGGAGGGAGAATGCACAATGCTACAATTTCCAACTGTTTTCTTAGTAGTGACCCTGTTCAACTCACAACAGAGACTTGCCTTTTAGAAGAGTATTTTGATTGGGAGAGGCAGGAACAATGATTAGTGTGCTATGATTTGCAAAACAAACTACAGCAGAAGTGCATATACAAGAGGTAAATAGGAACATGATGTCCAAGGACTGTGAGCACTGCTGATATTTCAAAGGCGGCTACAGCTTTGAACTCCAAACTTCAGAGAGAATAGCTATGTCTTGAACAACAGCAAAATTAGTGATATCAATAAGATGTGATACAATCAGCAAGTTAGGCTCCCCTGACGTTGCTTTAAGGTAAGTGGAGGCAGGTGTTTTCACGATGTGCTGTGATTACTCTGCACAGGCAACAGAATCCATGATGTCTGTTGCCACGGGAAACTTGAATTAATTGCTCTTTTATTTATTATTTAAGCTGATACAAAAGAAACATATATTTTGTCCTTTGTACACTACATACTATAAAAGAGAGTATCAGCAGACACCACCTTTTTAAACGTTCAGTTGATATCTCAGTAATTAAACTGACTTCCATTCTCTAGTTACAAAACTAGTTATTCAGCATGGTTTTTTCTTTCCTTCTTTTTGAAAAATACATACAAAGATAAAGATTTACCATGTAAATAATTCAGAACTCAAGAGTTACATATTCAAAACAAGCAAAACAAAACCCTGTTAGAAACACGAAACAAAGGCAGTGAGGCTGTCTGTCTGGATGGCACTAAGACCTCCTAGTGACTCACACAAGGTCATGTATCTGAAATTAACTATACAGTCCCACGCAGTCAGGATCCAGACCCTCCTGTTCCCGCACAGCCCTGGCTCTGGAGCTGACTCTGCCCTGTGGGTCGTCCCCACTCAGTGCAAACTGAAGTGAGCAGTATCTTCTTTCTCACCTAGATAAGGTAACAACTCCTAATTTACAGTACTAAGGGTGCCTGTTTGTAAGACTTTTTCTCACGTATGCTAAATTGTCTTTAAGGGAAACTTGCTCGTTTCATAAACATTTTTGCAAAATACAGAGCTCGGTTTTCTTCAGAACTCCGTACGAGGCACTCGTCAACAGGACAGGCCCTCTCCTGCACCTGCAAGCGCCCCGCACACACTCCCCTGCAGCTCTCCCGTCAGCCTGCTCCACAGGCCTCACTGTTGCTTTCCCGTGTGTGGTCTCACGTTACCTGACACATAGCGCTTTCTCAAAGGGTCACCACTCACCAATCCTGGAGTGTGACCAAGAGTGAAACCAAGTTGATCGTACCAACAGAAACCTTTTAAAAGTAACTGCAACAATAAAGATGAACTACAGCCATATATTAAGACCCCCTTCAGCATTATAAAGTATTTACAATATCAGAATAAGCTGTTACAGTCAAGTTATTTCTCCAAGTCCCATTAAATAGGGGGAGAGGGGACTTCCAGCTGCACCAAAACACCACAGCAGTGAGAATGCAGAATAAAACAGGACACATACGCCCTCCAGCCAGTTCGTGGAAATAAAGAAATGACGTGGACATCATAGTGTATCAACCCTTATCCAAAGTGAAAACGGAAATAGCTAAATTACTTCATTTTACTGATGCATAATGTTTTAAGGAAGAAGGATCTTATCAAGAGTGACTAAAAAAACAGAAGATTGTGCTGAATGTATCCTAGAGAGATGCTGGACACAGGAAAACTAAAAAAAACTTGAAACACTTTCTAGGTATTCCCTTCTTAGTTCAAAGCTTCTATTTCAATTTATTCTTGATTTAATTACTCTTTCAAAATAAAGGTTTGCTATTTTTCACTGAGACACAATGACTACATTTGATTGAACAAAAGACTTAGCTCACCCTGGTAAACGTGCCCTCAAAGCTGTGAATATCCAGCTGCGGCTTCTGGGCATGGACATAGGCGCTGATGGAAAACAGGTCCTGGAACACAGAGTATCCAAATCAGTATCACTGCAGTTAAACAACATTTCTTGAAAATTTTCAGTTACCAATATTTTTATATATTATTTACCAAAAGAGATGGCTGATTTTCTTACATTTTTGTGTGCCCACATTATGAATTAGGATGGAAGATAACTAAAAGAAACTACTTTTAAGTTCAAGGGAGGCGTGGCAATTTCTCTTGATTCAAACAGATCACTGCTACCTGGCGACAGGTGTGTGAACAGCACTTGGGGGATGCTGATACATATGGCCTGGGGCTGCCCAGGATCCCAATTTTTGAGGGGAGGCTGTGTATGAGTATTTAGAAGTTTTGCAAGTATCCAAGTAGTCAGTATTCAGTGGGATTTGTTTTATAAAACAACCTGGTAAAGCCCTAGGTCTGTGTAGATGTTTTGTTCTAGCAGCTCCACATTTGCTACCAACTGCTGCCTCCCCCCTGGGACATGCAGAGTGCATGTCTCCTGTGTGCCACAACCTGTAGTTATAAAACTCTATTACGTCCACAGAAGTTGTTTTGCAGCAGAAAAGCCATGTGCTTTAGGTCAGTCCACTCACGGGCAACATGTGAAGTTTAAACAGCAAGTCTCCAGAGATGAATTTTAAGTACCTCATTTAAGATAACTATAAAAGTATGCTGGCTGGTCCAGAAAGTTTTGTTAATTTTATTAAAATAATAGCAGTTATATTAGTGTAAGCAACGTATTTAAAATAAATTTCAGGTTTTTAACGATGCACAATGATTTTTACCAGATCACCAGGAATTTACAACACTGAAAGATCTGTGTCTGTCTGGACTTAGACAAACCCGCCTCCCACTAGACAGCCCAGGAAAGTAACTTCTCATCTCAATCTCACACTGACTTGACACTGTAAGACAGAACTCAGCATGCAGACATGCTGCACACCTGCACCGAGACAGGGGCAGGCAGGAGACTGTGTGCATGGAGAGGGGCTAAACACGTCTGAGACCAAACATGCTGGTGCATTTTTCAGGCTGATCACAGGACCAAATAATAGTGTGTAAATTACAGCCACAAAGGGAGATCACTTATACTTGCACTTTTCTTGGAGTAAAGTTTTAAGAGTCTTTTAATTATTGATATTTTTAGTTGTTTTTACGTAATANACAAAGGGAGATCACTTATACTTGCACTTTTCTTGGAGTAAAGTTTTAAGTCTTTTAATTATTGATATTTTTAGTTGTTTTTACGTAATACTTCTAATTGGCTACAGAGGCTCTAAGTTTAAAAATGTTGGTCTTTCACTGAGGGCTGAATTTGACTGGGATACTGACATTAGTCCACAAACATGAAGAGTAATGAGTCCCAGCCTGTCCTTGTCCCCTGCTCCGGCTGCATGGGACCGAAACAGTGCCCTGGCCTCAGCCTGGTCCTGTCTGCAGGTCCCCTGCTGTCCTCTCAGGAGGACTGGGATTCCTTTTCCGTCTCATTAGTACTGAGAGTTACCAACAGGTGTCACGTAACCTGAAGACAACTGAAAATGCTCAGGAGAGTCAAAGACTTCTACATTACAGGAATATTCTGTAACAGGACTACAGGGCTCACAAAACAGTCTAGCGACTGCTAACAGGATTAATGAGAAAATGACCCACTCAAATGAGGACCCGTCCACCTCAAGCTGTATCACTCTGCAGCTAGTGGGCTCTGCTTCCAGACCAGGGAGCATCCTGGTTTCTCCTGAGCAGGAACAGTGCCCTGCTCTCAACCCCCCAGTGCTGGACGCAGGCTGTGCTCCATCTAGATGGCTCTCAACCCCCCAGTGCTGGACGCAGGCTGTGCTCCGTCTAGATGGCTCTCAACCCCCCAGTGCTGGACGCAGGCTGTGCTCTGTTTAGATGGCTCTCAACCCCACAGTGCTGGACGCAGGCTGTGCTCCTGTCTAGAGAGCTCTAGGACTCTCCCTGGCACAGGGCTGATGCCATGTCTGAGGCAGAGCTCTCAGGGCACAGCCTGGAAGTCTCGTCACTTGGAACCCTGTACTCAAAGACTCCAAATGCCTGTATCGGACTCTCAGCTGGATCCAACACTGTCTGCCAGGAGTGTTCTGACCGTGGCCTGAGCAATGCCAACTGAGTGCAGGAACAGCCTCATGGACACATCCCGGACCTGGGACAGGTGCAGAATTTGAACCCCTTGGAGCGACATAAACCAGGAAAACGATGCTGGCTGGGCCCTCGGAGCTGACCACAATCAAGGGCTTGTGCCCTGATGAGCCATCTGAAAGAACACACCCCTTGACATGCTTCACAGCCAGCTTTCACCAGGTGGCTCGTTTTGGTGATGAGATGTGATGAGAAGTTACGTGCTCCCGGGACGAGAGTGCTCTCCACACCCTTCCCTTCCTGCTGGACAGGAGCAGACACCTGGGACAGTGGAAAGTCACAGACGGAGCATGACAGAGCTGTCTTCTCAGCCTGGGACCACCTGCCTCTGGAATGCTGGTGAAGGAGAAAACCTCTCTTGGTTTGGGTGGATCGGTACAGGAAGCAGACCACTCCCGGCCTGGGAGCAGATGGGAATATATGAAGTGAGATACTTCCAAACCGGAAGGAAGAGGGTCACGGCTAACCTCCAGAAATTACTCAGAGTGTTACTAAATGATCCTCCCTGGGAAACACTGTTGCCACCACAGAGTTCAAGACACAGCAGTGGAGCTGGGATGCAGGGTGGGGAGCCCACTGCCGACCCAGCAGCTGCTCTCGCATACCTGACGGCACCCGCCACAGAGAACGGCCAACAGCAGAAAGCTAATGCATCCTGTCCCTGACTCACGCTCCCCAGGAAAGCACCTCACAGGCCCCCAAGAAAGCCTTGTAGGAAGGTACAGACAGGTGCCTCCCGGAGCTTCTGCAGCAGGGATGCTACGCCGGGTGAAGGGGAGCACGCCAGCCCAGCACCGCGGGTCTGCGACTGCAGCCCAGACTACATGTTAACTGATAAAAATTCATTTTCAAGTTAATTAAGTCCAGCTAGTTTACACAAGAAGAAATACATTGTGTAATAACTTTAGACTTGTGAAAATACGACTACAACGTTTCACAAGCAGCCAACTCTTAGGATAAGGCAAGCTTGAACCACTCATCAGTTAGGTACGACACCGTCAGTGATTTTCACGAAGTAAAACGCTCTTGTAATAGACTACCTTTGGAGACACGGAAATACAGAACAAGCCACAACCATCCTCTCTTCGACATGTGCAGGAACACTTAGGGGAACGCACTCCATCTAGTATCCGAGACATCAAATGACTGAGTGATGGCACAGTGATGAGAATGCCATTCGAGGCTTCTCGTGATAATTTAAAACCCATTCTGAAGTTTCAATCATGCAGGAAAGCCTCTGCTATTAGGTCAAGGGCAACATTTGTTCGCATTACTTAAAGGTCATTAAAATACATCCTTAATCATAACATGTGGTTCATTACAAATAAAATTGCCTTTCGTTCAATAAAACTCATTAAATGTAAATGGTATTGTTTACTGCTCTATGGATCTCTTGAAATAAATCAGCAAGTCATGATTTATTGAAAATTACTGTGACCTCATTGTTGTTAATAAATTTGCCTGATCACAAAACCAGGAACGTATTTCCCGACAATCTTGGGTGCCTGGGACGCGTGCCTTCCAGACGCCTGTGCAGCAGAGCTGCCCGCAGCACAGCCGTGAGAGGGCTCGTCGAAATCTTAATTCTCTGGCCACATCAGTGCTCTGGGAATGCAGCCCCATTGGAGAGGTTATTCTCGATGGTGTCCTCAGCTCATTAAGAAAAGCTCTAGATCTGTGGGTTCACTCATTCCTGGTGTCACGATGGACACAATGCTCACTGATGATGTGACAAACAGCAAAGGACACCAAATTTCCCCAAATCCATTACATTAGAAACAGAAAAGTCAAAATGAGTGACAGTTATGGGCAGCTTAAGCTATTAAACTAAAGACAAATTGCCTTGTCTGTATCCATAATCGAATTACAGCCTCCTCTTCTATGAAAAGGTATCTATACATAGTCTGCCAAATTACATAAAGCTACACATTTAATTTGATTGATGAATTAGAAATTCAGTTAAATTTCCCTTTTTTCTTAAATACTGCTTTTTGGTTTTGCAGTTATATCAAAACTTAAAACTTTTCATTTATCACACAGTCACGCAATGCAAATGCTCGATGCCACTCCCTACCACAGTGTATCAACCATAAAACTTTAAAATTAGCATTACAGCTTGTATATTATAACTTTGCAAATATTTTGAAATTTATACATTCGTGTCACTAATAAAACTGAAAAAACATCCTCATAATATTGAATATGATAAAATGTTAGTTCCTGTCATCACAAGAATACTAAAAAACATAGGTAATAACAGTGTAAGTTTAACTGCTTTCTTAAGACATAATTTACATGCAATAAACGGCACGTTTAAAGCACACAATTTTATGCATTTTAACACATGTATAATTGTGTGACATCGCCACCATCAAGCTGTGGGACATTTCTACCACCCTCTGCAGGTTTCCTGCCTGCTCTCAGCCTCCACCCCTGCCAACCCACTATCCTAGAATTCCTATTAATGCAACCACACATTACATGCTTTTGTCTGCTTGGCTTATGTTTGGCTTTTCTTTCAGACACATTCTTTCTAATACAGTGTTTTAACTGTGCACTTTCTTTTCTACCACTTTCGGCAAAATTGAATCTACAAATGATTATTTAGTGCAGCTCTTTCCAAGGATCCACTCCGTGACTCTACAATTCTTGGAAGTGGTGCTACCATCCAAGCAGGACAGCCATTGAAATCCTCCCAGTCATTCAGGATTCCTGATCTTTCCCCCTTTAAAAACCTGCAGAGATTACCTGAGGATGCGTGCTAGAAAAAGGAGAAAGGACACAGGGAGGAAGCACTCTGCAGCCAAGCAGAGGGGCACTAGCCCAGCCATCGGCTCAACTCCATAGAAAGTCAGCAGACTGCAAGACCATCTCATGATGAGAACCAATCCACTTTAGCAAACAGTATGAGGACTGTAAGCGGGATGCTTAAGCAGTGAGGTGGCGGCACATTAGAAAACATGTTAAGCACACGGGGAACACTGGCCCAGAGACCATCGGCGGGCCAGGTCACAAGTCAGTGCACATGAAAGGGCTGAGGTGGAACTGAGTACATTCTGTGAACGTAACAGAATTAAATAACAAGTTACGAAGACATTAAGGAAATCCCCAAATATTTGGTTAATAAACAATATATTTCTAAGTAAACGAGGGTGAAAGAAGAAATCATAGAGGAATTGGAAACATTTTACACTAAATGATAATGCAAGTGCAGCCTATAAACCGTGCGTGACACGGGTGAGGGAGCGTGAAGAAGGGGATTTGTAGCCCTAAACGTTTCTGCCAGAAAAGACTAAGGTGTAAAATCAAGAGTCTAACTTTGTTAAAAAGTTAAGCAAGAAAAGAAAATCAAATACAAACTAAGTAGAATGAAGAAAATGGAGACAAGAACAAAAAGCAGAAACTGGAAATAAACAGACAATACCAATGGAACCAAGAGCAAGCTCTTGAAATGATCACTAACACCGATGAACCTCTGGCTACAGTGACCAAGAAAAAGACGTAAATTACCAGTATCAAGAATGAAAGAGGTCTCGAGAACTACAACCACTGACAATAATAATCAGATATAATGAATTTTATGCCATTAAACTTGGCAATTTATATGAAACAAATAAATTCATTAAAAAAACACAAATTTCCAATGAACAGAAAATTTGATTTACTCTATTATCTAATTCAGAAAGTTAATCCACAATTAAATACCTTCCCACAAAGTAAGCTCCTAGCCCAGATAGTTTCAAGGGTAAAATCGTTCAATATTTTAAAAAGAAATAACAATGCTCTTCTACCAAGTACTTCAAAAAATACAGGAGGCAAAAAGACTTCCCAACTCATTTAATGAGGCCAGCACACCCCAGTAGCAAAGCAAAGGCATGGCAACAAATGCAACACAGACAAATACCCTCACAAACACAGGCACAAGAATCCTGCAAAAATACCAGCTGGTCGAATACTGCAGCACATGAAGAGGACACCGAGCATGCCCAAAGGAACGTCAGCCGAGGGACCACCTACCACACAGGCAACTGGAAACACCCACAGAAGAAACTATTCCCGTGTCTTACATGTGCGGACATATCTGGTCCCCGACCGTCGGGGACGCGGGGGATGAGGAAGGCTCCTGCTGCGCTCGGTGGTGAGCTGTTCATGGTACACAGCGCAGGCAGGCTTTTCCATCCAGAGCCAACCTACCTAAGGAAGGACCGAATCCACGGTGTCCACCTCCCCACCTCGGAGGACCTCAATCTTCTTCACTGTCCACTGCGTATCAGCAAACCATGTAAAACGAAGCTTCTCTCAATCAGGTAAGTGCTACATACAACACAGAGCAAACACCAAATAGGCACAACTGTGGGTGGGTTTTTTTAAAAAATTTTTAATTGATTTTTTTGGAGAGAGGGGGAAGAAAGAGAGCAGGGACCAAACCCGCAACCCAGGTATGTTCCCTGACCGGAGATCGAACCTGCCACCTTTCAGTGTATATGACAAGGCTCCGACCATTTGAGCTACATCAGCCAGGGCACCACAACTGTGATTTTGTGTGTTTGTTTGTTTTTTTTTAAAAACACACATGTGAACCAGTTGAAGGGATTTCTAAGCATCTGTGGGAGATCTGCTTTAGACATCACTGAAAATACCAAAATCCACAGCACTCCAATCCCACCCTTGCTGCTGCCCAGGTGCAAAGAGAAGGTCAGCAAAGGCCAAGCAAGAGGTCCGAGAGTGTCCCTTTCTGTTAGAGACATGACAACTTCACTTCCTCCGAGTCAGACAGGAGTCTCCGCCCTTCAAAGGAAAAGCTGAGTGGACAGGATGGACTCCAAGCCTCAGGAAGCCAATCGGGCTGTTTCAGTGTCTGAGCAGCTCAGAGGGAGGGAGTCAGTCAGCAGCAATGGATCCTCAGTGTGAAGTTGATAGGAACATTTGAAACACATGTCATGTGCTAAGACACCACAGAAATTATTTTGGCATAGTTTTTAATGATCCTTCCTTCCTTAGTAGTAAATGTTATTTCTTAAAATTATCGATGCATTCGACATGTTAGCTGGCACAAACAGAAACCCACCGAACATAAGCAACGGTGGTACTCACCCCCAGGGCTGGCAGCCTCTGCGTGCAGCTCACAGCCACTTTCAGCTTCCAGTCAGTTTCACCATCCAGCTGATCAGTTCGAATAAAACATGAACCTTGGAATTAGAAAAGAAAAATTTCTGAGTTACAGGTACTTAAAAAACAAAATTCCACGGCACAGTCAGATCCAGAAATAATAAACCTAGAGTCCCATAAACAAAAATCTTTAAAAGCCTTTGTTTGTCTGATTCACACACGAGTTTGCTGAAAAGACACAGGTGACTATTTAGCCCCTACCTCCTAGTTGGTGTTCTTGCCTATTACGGGTTAAGATGGACTGTGCTTCATTCTAGAAAGACTGCACTGATCATGTCTACCTTTGATTCGTGTTCTGATAACAAAACAATAAGCAAATACTGAAAGATATCCAGAGTGTGTGCTATGACTTTGCTAATAAAATGTCAGAGATACCATCAGAAAACAGTTCCCTCATAAAGGCCCAGGTCAGTGCCAAAACCCAGCTGGAGCTACTATCACGCTGACACTCCATCAACTCTTCAACATGAAAAACATTCAGTCACGACAGTGCCTTTTCCCTTTGGCCACTGTCACACCGTCTCTTGGAACCTTTCTAGGACAGAAGAGCACATTTTACATACACAGGATGACACAGACAGGAGACAATCGTGTGGTGGTATTTCTCAAATTTGGGGAAACATTTTAGGCAGAGAAATAAGAACCTATCTTCACAGAGCTTAGTCCAGCACACTTTCATGCATTCTAAAACTAACGTGGGCCTGAGCCAACCCCACCCGCACCAGCCTCAGGTGCCCTTGAACCACAGGAGAGAGGCCCTGCACACCCTGGGCACTCTGCTTTCATGCTGCAAAGATACCAGATGCTTTTCTCTGCCAGCCAATGCCCTTCCAACTAAGCATGACCACCAGCAACTCAGTGCTGGAAGTATGCCCCCTGCCCTCTCTCCACCAGTTACATTTTTACCCTCTAACCTCCCTGCGCCAGGGACACCACCATTGCCAGCATGAGTCCAGGAGACTCAGAGGTCAGCTCACTTCCTCGGGCACAACAGGATCGATTTCCAATTGCCCAGTTTATCATCTGAAGATATACCTACAAGACCATCACCTGAACATATGCATGATTATCACACATGCCTGTGTGTGCTCTGACATAAAACACAGAAGTAACGTAAAAGGAAGTGGAGTCCAGGTTCTGTCTGACATGCACTTTGAATCGTCAGTGCCATCACCCTGCTCCAGGCTTGCTTTCTAATACATAAAGTAAGAAAAGGGGGGAGTTTTCAGTCTCTTAAATGTCAGACATTCTGTGTTTCTAAGGTGAAAACTTTCCCAGCTAGACTGCTCTAAGTCATGAACACTGGAAACAATACAGTTGCCTTTCTTTAAAGAAAAAGGGCTTGCTTAGAGTTAAATTATGTGCTACTTTAAAAATTTACAGGAAGCTGACGTATTATTTATCTTTGATTACAGTGAGTATTGCCGACGCTGGGGTAACCAGATATGACTTAGAGAGAAGGAGCTGCGGCAGGCAGCAGTGTGACCAACTGGACTTGTCTTACGTGCACTGTATCTACTCATTTTTACAGCAACTCTGAACTTCAACTGAGGCCAGTCAGGCTCAGCCAAGATCCATTATTAAACTGGTCTGTTCATATCCTATTACAGACTTCTTATGAATACTTGATTTTATTTTGTATAATTGACAACAGTTGACAGGAAAGGACAGCTCTAATGACAGTAAAGTCGAGACTGCCCAGCACACGTCTCACACAGGAGAGCTGCACCAAGTGGCGACAAAGGGGCTGCGGGGCGCTGTGCGGCACGGCACGAGCCCGTCACACCGTGCGGGCCCCCGAATATCAGGAGACTGCCCGCAGTAGCTCCAGAATCCAATAGCTCTGAAAGAAATGGGCTACAGTATGTGCCCAACAAAAGAAAAATAGACATTGACTCTGCATATATAATAGCAGATCGTTTGCCATCAAACTTAATTTCTAAATCATTTATATGACTTAATGACTCTGCATGAAAATTTTAAGCCAGTGGCAAGATGAATGGCACCACCGAGAGAAGGTGGATGAGTACAGTGTCACTTACCTGCCCCTCACCCACAACAAGTGACAGCTGAGCTATTGTAATATGTCCCCAGCACTTAAACTATAATGTCATCACTTAGGAGACAAGTGAAAAAGATATTGGCATGTATAAGAGATTGATGAAAATTAGTTCTCAAGCATTAATTTCTCTTAATACCACTAAAAGAACTGTGTGCATTCAGGAGATATTTGATCTGAATTAAGAAGCGGATGAAGCAATTGATCAATTGGAATTTGAGCCATCAGTCACCAGATCCATCAGCAGCTTCATTTACATTCCAAACAATCAGCCGACAGCCCAACAGAATACCCTGTATTAATACACAGTCAATATGATGCCTCCAAGAGACTTGGGAGCTGTATTGACAAACGCCCCGTGGTCACTGTCCAGGCTCGAACGTGCTGCATAGATTTAGAACTTTCATGTTGGCTAGGGCTTAAAGATTTCTATTATAAGGAACAATGTATTATCAGGTTTCTCCAAACTAAAACTGAAAAGTAATAAAATAATATCAGCAGTGATAGTAGACACACACAAAAAGCTCTAAGTGTGTAGTTTTGAAAACCAGGCAATTAAAGCACTTAAAATAATTCCTTAAAGCCATACAAACAGAATTTCCAAAGCTAAAAATCCTTGACTGAAAGCAGTATTATGACACAAATTTTTTACAGTGGAGAAACTTTTGGTCCATTTTACAAAGAAAAATAGCATGAAACAGGTATCTGACATTGTAATGTCTGCATGTGAGTAATTAGTAATTGTTTTTTGTAATTTGATAGAAATAATAAAAGTGAGGAATATAATAGAATCATATGCTAAAACAGACTATAGTAAGACTATAGATAGTCTGCTAAAACAGGCTATCTTAAACTCAGATCCATTAATAACCTTCCAAAAATATGTAAAACAATAAAAAATCAGCATACATGTATATGATGTACGTTTTTGTGGGAACAAGGAAATAATTCTTAAGATCCTCAAGGGATCCATCGTCTCCAGAATACGAGGTACCCTTCCACTACACAGTGACTATCCCTGCTCCACGAAGTTAAAGCAAAATTAAAGAGAAAGGAAAGAACATGTCTTTGAAACATCATCAGTATGGACAGAATGCGATTAACCTGGAGTTATGGCAAGGACCTCACCTGCCCAATGTGCTGTTTCTATTTCTGTTTTGCTGTCTTATTATATCACAAGGATGGCACAGTGAAAAGATCATTAAGAGGCTGAAGAAGAATTTCCAAAACTGCTACTAGCCGTATAATCTTTAGCAAGGCATTTGTGTTCTCCAGCCCTCGGAGTCTTCCTCTGAGAAATGGACATTTCTACTTTCCAGCTTTAAAATGCTGAATTTTCTTCATCTTTTATTTCCTAACTATATAATCTATTTCTTTTACATTGATTATCTAAACCATTTCTATATTTAGGATAATATTCTTAATCTTACATATATTTCCAGCACAATCATTAAAAGGACAATTAATATAAAAGCACCTTCCAAAGGGAGACATTTTTGTTACTCACTATAATATACTTAGAAACAAAGACAAATAATAAGTAAGTAGGTGATACCAGCAGGGATGGCAGTATAAAAAATCCCTGAAAATCCATTTCTCCATAACTACATGAGAACATTACAAAAACTGTCGAAGCAACTTATTCAGAACTCTGAAAGATAATAAACAATTTGCAACAATGTGAGGTGCATTTACTCAAGAAACAAGCTAGCCTGGCCGGGCGTGGCTCAGCGGTTGAGCGTCGACCTGGGATCCAGGCGATCGGGGTTCGATTCCCGGTCAGGGCACATGCCCGGGTTGCGGGCTCGATCAATGATTCTCTCATCATTGATGTTTCTATCTCTCTCTCTCCCTCTCCTTTCCTCTCTCTGAAATCAATAAAGATATATTAAAAAAAGAAAAGAAAAAGAAACAAGCTAAATCTAGCTAAGGGTAAGCTGTGTTTTGACTTGCCCTGTTCCCAACACTCCACACCACACCCATGGCTCCACAGTACTGAGAAAACCGATAGTCTAGTAGCGACTGAGGGGCCCAAACCCAACTCAGAGCTCCCCAAACCCTATGACCAGAGAACTGTGACCACCAGACAAGTAGGGCTTGTCTGGATTTCACCTGATGCAGGGTCATACATGGAGAACACTGTCTTCCCTGGAATGTTTGTCAAAAACAATCAGTGGCAATTGCTTAACATCATAGCTGCCTCAGGTGGTCATAAAGCTGGGGTAAACAAGCTGAACAAAAATCTTAAAAGAAAAGCTGAAAAATCAGATGCTGGAAAGGGGTTTTGAAAAGCTCTAACATATTCCTGGGAGTCTAGAGGACCATCTGCCTATGCAGGGCTGCCTACATGCCCAGGAGAGCCTAAGAGGCCCTCCTCTCTCCTGCCTGGCTAAGCTGGAGGCTCTGTACAAGCCCAAAGTGAAGGGGAAGGCAAAGCTATGAACTGCCTGCTACAGCCCTGCAGGTGTTAAGAGAACACTAGCTGTTTTAAAAGATAAACCTCACCCTAGCCAGTTTGGCTCAGTAGTTAGAGCAGCGGCCCATGGAATGGAGAGTCCTGGGTTTGACCCTGCTAAGGTTACACACCTCAGTTGCAGGCTCCATCCCTGGCCCTGGTCGGTGCTCCCGCGGGAGGCAACCAATCGATGTGTCTCTCTCACATCGATGTTTCTCTCTCTCTCTCCCTCCCCCTCCCCTCTCTCTGAAAAGCAATGGAAAAAATATCCTCTGGTGAGGATTAAAATAACCACACACACACACAAATAAAATAAAAGATAAGCCTTGCAACTTGGGTACTTCAAGAATATTTGTTTTGCACCACAGAGCCCCTCTTTAATGGAAAGTGGGCTCTGTTCCACACTGACATTCAGGAACCTAAGCTGAGGTGTTCTGCCGTTCAACAGGCAGCTTCCAGGGTTATCCTAGCCATGCACTATGTGCAGCTGTGGGCCCCGGCATGCAGGGAGAAGAGCAGAGGCTACAAGAGGTAAAGGCCAAGGCTGGAAGCAGTACATGTGACTTTCAGCCATCCTCCTTCAGACAACCCTCAAGGGCATAACCCCTTCTACCCGGGCAGGATAAGGAGTCCAGCTGTATTTCTAAGAGGAAAGGAAAATGGACTGGACATGTAGCTTTCCAGTCTCCACCCCATTGGAAAAACAAAACCTCCCATTAAGTCTTACACGGTAAAGTAACTGTGCCAAGTGTACGGGGGTCACTTGATTATTAGGTGTAGCTGAGCTGTTAATGGCAGCCTCACTTCCCACTGTGAATAACCACAGCTACAGCTGATGAAAGGACAAAACATTTTCCCTTTTTCTCATGACTTAAAATGCCACTTTAAAAGAATGTAGTGTATAAATGGAAAAAAATGAAATCAGCAGCTCTAAAATATAACTATGTCCTTCCGAGAGTTTACATGCTGCATAGAATAACACATATGCTGAGGTTCCTATAAAAATATTGTTCATTTATTCACCAAAATGCAAGATTTAAGGAACAAAGAACTTTGGATGTTAGATGGTAACCCTCCCATCATCTTAGAGCGATGGAGATGTATGAGTGCATGGCTAAGTCACATAACTAGGAACTGGCAAAGCAGATTCCATTTTGGGTTTCCTGATTTCCAACAACCGTTTTCCTGACATATGAGGCTTCCGTCTCATTGCCTCTCACTACCCCTTCTCTGGCCTTCTAACTGTTGGAAGCTCAGACCATGCAAATACCATTTTTTCTGGGAAGTCCACTTCAACTCACCCAGGCAAATGGTCTGCTCCTGCGCCAACCCCCACGTCTTCCCACTCTTACAGTATCTACACGAAATAGAGTCTGAGTGCCAGGCATGTGCCTCCACAAACACGCAAGCCACGTGCCCTGGGGGAGCACCTTGGTTTGCTCCTTTATACCCTACACGCCACGCAGTACCTGGCGCAGAGAGTGGTAACTAAGCATTTGCTGAGCTGACAAATAAAACTGCAAGTGCAGAATAGCAACCACGTTCCCAGCAACACCACTTGATTACCCAAGACCCAGTGTGCCAGGGACGGCAGCACCCACCTGACAGGCTCTGGAGGGTCCCCTTCTTAAACAAACATGCTATACAGTAGAATCAGTCTTAAACACCAACGGTTAAGTGTAATTTAGAAATCAATGGATTAAATGATTTACTATTCAAAGAAAAATTTATATATTTTCCCTTTCAAAATGAAAATGAAACTGTCAAAATACCAAATCATCAACATAAATAAATAAAAAAATACCTGCTTTTTCTGAAGTCCTAAGAAACACCATGTCCGATGGAATTCTTTGATTCTGTAGAGTATAATATAAAATGTTAATTATCTATATGCAGGTTTATAAACACAATTCCATTCCAAAGTAAAACAGCTAGTAAAAACAACTAAAATGTTAAATTAAAATTTATGTTGCAATTCACATTTACAATTTGTATTTTAAAAATGAGCATTTCGATTCATATTTTAGTTGGACCTTTAAGATATTCCCCATAATGAATGATGTAAACAGTATTTAGTGATGGCTTGAAAACAGCTCCACTTCTGGGAAATGTTAAATAGTGCCATTTCTGTGGCCTCTGTTGTACCTTAACTTATAATATAGCAGTGCCTGCCTTTTCACCCTCCCTATTAGACTAAATGACCCTAGAAAGTGAGGATAGCATTCTTCCAATGCCTCATACAAAACAGAGCCTATCATAAATAAAACAATAAACTGTGCATGAATAAATGTACAACTGAGCAACTAAAAGTGAATCCCACAAGCCTGAGGAGGTGTTCCTTTATAGAGCAGAAAGGAAAAATAACTCGAACATATTATGTGGCACATAGAAACCTTTATAAGTCACTAGTCATACATTTATTTAATCATTGCTACTAGTAATTCTATCAAACTAAAGAAAAATACAGTGGTACTTCGGTTTTCAAACATCTCCGTTGACGAACATTTCAGTTTATGGACGCTGTAAACCCAGAAATGCTTCGGTTTTCGAAGCCGCCTCGGAAATCAAACATGCCCCATGGCTTCCGCTGGGGGCAAGATCCTGAGGCCTAGTTGTCAGCTGTTGATCTCTCAGTTTGCAAACGTTTCAGAACTCGAATGGTCTTCTAGAACAGATTACATTCGAAAACTGAGGTACCACTGTATATAATTAGAATAAGAATGCTTTCCATAATTTCATGAATTATTTATAGTTTTGAGACCTACATAAAGATTTTCCTACACATGATAGATGATTATTTGTCAGTCAGCAGGCAATGAAAACAAATATAAGTTGTTAAACAGAAAAACCTATGTTGTAAGATAGAGCCTCTTCTTTCTAACATGAAGAAAGAAGGGCAGTTATTAAGATCTGAAGAACTGCCCGGCTGGTGGCTCAGCGGTTGAGCATCGACCTAGGATCCAGGAGATCACATGTTCGATTCCTGGTCAGGGCAGATGCCTGGGTTGCAGGCTCAATCCCCAGTAGAGGGTGTGCAGGAGGCGGCCAATCAGTGACTCTCATCATTGATGTTTCTCCCTCTCTCTCCCTCTCCCTCTCTCTCTCTGAAACCAATAAAAATATATTAAAAAAAAAGATCTAAAGAACTCCTAAGTCAAAAAAGAAATCACAATGGAAATTAGAAAATATTTTTAACTGAAGAGTAATAAAATACCAACACATCAAAATATGCAGAACATAGCCAAAGTGTCAAGAGAGTGTAAGAGGAAAATGTACAGGAGCAATTGCACATGACAGAACAGGGAGGCCAACTACATGGCATAGAGCTAAATGTCCATTTGAAAATAGGGAAAAACCAGCTACTGAGCCACAGAGAAAGTACAAGATGTAAGCAAATATAAGAACAAAACTTAATGACACAGAAAACAAATATATGTATATACACCTACATATATATATTCATATATATTGGTAACAAACAGCAAGAAAGTAAATATTTTTCAAATATTCCCATTTCAGTAATAAAAAACTAATAATAAACTAATAAAAGATTGGCGAGCCCCATGAAAAAACTATAAAATACTGCTGAGAAAAATGAAATAAAACCTAAAAAAATACAACATATAGGTTCTGAAATTAGAATATATGGCACTGCAAAGACATCAAGTGCCCATAAATTGACCTACATATCCAACACGAACCCAACCAACATCTTGCCATGATTTCTGGTGGGGACTGAGAAGGTATTGTCAATATTTACAGGGAAATACAAAGGTAAAAATGTCCAAGACAAATGTGAGAAACACGGAAAGTTGAGTCTACAGTACAGTGAAACGAAGATATTAAAGTAGAGGCATGAAGGCAAGGGAGCACTGGACCGAGAGACAATTACACCAATGCAAAGTGCAGGCTCCAGAGGAGGCCACACACGGAGAGACACCAGATTTGGGAGGGAGATGAAACTGCAGACCTATTAGGACATGATGCTGAGAAATCAGATACCCACGGGGAGGGAAGACAACACCTGACCTCTACTTCAATCAACACACAAATAAATTCCAGATGAATTATATTTCCAAATGCCAAAGTCCAAACAATAAGACTCTGACACAATAATATAGAAGAATATTTTCACAATGCTTTGGAAGGAAAAAGACTCCTTCCCACCACCAAAAGTTAAAAACAAACAAAAAAACTATACATGAAAAGATGAGTGAAGTAGACTTCACTAAATTTAAGGATTTCTGTTCAACAGAGTACTCCATGAAGAAAAAGATACTTGCAACACAGAGGACTTGAATCCAGAATACATGAAGACCGCAAACTGATGAGAACAGGGCTAACTCAGAAGAAAATGGCAAGATGTCAACAGGCTCTTCCCAAGTAAGAGCGACATCCAAACGCAGACGAGACGGAGTCCACCTCTGTTAGTCTTCGAGGAAATGTGCATTAGACCACAACTGCTGGACACAGATGGGAAATGCTAAATCAAAAAGACTGACGATGCCAAGTGTTGGCAAACGTGTGGAGCAATGGAAGCCCTGCACTGCTGTTTCGAGTACAATTTGAACGTCACTTTACAAAACCATTTGCAGTATCTACTGAAGTGGAACATACGCATACGCTATACCCAACAATTCCACCCAGGCACAAATGCAGCAGCGACGTGTGCACAGGTGAGGCCAGATGGGGCATCACAGAAGCAGCAGTCCCAACAGGCAAAACTCAGAAGCAACCCAAATGCCCATCGACAGCAGGATGGAAAACAGGAATACGATGTAACAACAAAGCGAGTGAATCACAGCTACACACAGCAAGATGGATGTATCTCATTAATTGAACAGGGCCAAAAAAAGCACCCACCCAATCACACCCCATCCCACTGAATTCCTCGGCACCCTTGTCAAAAATCAATTAATCATAAATTTGCAGCTTCCCTTCTGGACTCTCAACTCGGGATTTATGCCAGGTCCACAATGTCCTGAGTACCCTCACTTTGTATAAGGGTTTAAAATGGCAACAAAGGTGACTATTCCAATTTTTGTTCAATTTTTATAAATTATACTGGCTGTTCTGGGAGCCTTGTATTTCCATACAAATTTGAGAATCAGCTGGTCAATTTCTGCAAAGCAGTCAGATGAAAAGTTGAAAGGGACAGTCCTGAATCTGTATGTCAACTTAGGGAGTGCTGCCATTTTAACAATATCAACACCTCTAATCCACGAACATGGGATGTCTTTCCATGTATTTAGATCTACTTTAACGTATTTCCACAACGTGTCATAGCTTCAAACAGAAGTTTAGTACTTCTTTTTATTCTTGAAGAATAATTTTATTTTGTTTGAAGCTACTATAAATGTAATCCTTCTCTGAACTGCATCTCCACACCCCCTCAGCTCCCTTACTGTGTTCCACATAACATGTGATGCTCATAAACAGACTCAGGTGCTTTTAATTTTCCCTCCCCTCAGACTACAAGTGACACTGGAGTGCGGCCGGCGTCTCCTTCACACAATACACGATGGTCCGTTGAACAGTTCCTCTGATCACCACCAGTCGGGCATTGAGAGGTTTCAGATTTTTGGCTATTGTGAAAATGCAGGGATAAACATTCGTGCACAGGCTTCTGTGCCAACATAAATTAACATTTCCTGTGATAAAGGTTCAAAAGTTCAACTGCTGGGTCATATAATATTTGCATATTCAGCTTCTTGAGAGACCAGTGATTTGCCAGAATGGCTGTAACAAGACACGTGTGAGCAGCCACTTCCCTCACCCGTGGCTGGCACGTGGTGCCGGGGCCCTCTCCCCCGCAGTCCACCTGCTGTCAGTGCAGGGACTGCATCTCCTTCGCCTGCAGCTCCAGGCGACAGGGAACACAGAGCACTGCTTCCTGTGCCGATTTTCTACCTGTATATCTTCCATGGTGAGATTCTCTTTGTATCTTTTCCTCATTTTCTGATTTGATTTCTTTAACTGTTGACTTTTAACAGTTTTTACATATCCTAGGTACAAATCCTTGTCAGATATGTGGTTTACAAATATTTTCTCCTAGTTTGTTTTTCATCATATTGACATGTCTTTTCACAAAGCAGCTTTTAATTTTAATGAGATGCAATTTATTAATTTTTTAAAAATCTTTGCTGCATTGTGCTTCTGATGTCAAGTCTAAGAAGAGCTACTTTCCTGCCCCGGATTCTGAATATTTTTTCCTATGCATTTCTTAAATTTTTACAGTTCTACTTTACATTGAAATCTGTGATCTATTTTGATTTAGTATTTGTATAAAGTGCGACACTCACAGTAAGGTTCGTCTTTACCCACATTGCCCAGACAGCGCCAGCCACATTCTCTGAGAGGCTGGCCTTTCTCCCCTTCAGCTGCTTGCGCTCTGTCCAACACCCCTGCACACGGCTGGGCGAGTCTGTTTTTGGGTCCTCCCTAATGTCTCATTGGTCTTGGTTCTCTCCTCTTCTACACGAGGCTATTAGTGGGTCCAGGTAGGATGTCTCAACCTTGGGAAGAGGACTCTTCTCCCTTCATTCTCTTGCCAAGACTGTTTTAGCCATTTCAGGGCCTAGGCCTTGCCAAATTAATTTTAGAATAACCTTATTTTGTTTAAAAAACAAACAGTCCTTGGTGAGATTTTGATAGGAATTGAATTAAACCTACAGGCCAATTTTGGGGAAACTTTGGAATGTCCCAATCCAAGGCTACCCCGTACCCCCACTCAGACCTTCGACTACTTTCCTAAGCCCTGCTGTCTGTGTAGCTGTGTTCACAGCAGCGGCCGAGAGCACTGCACTTTAGTGCCGGGTTCACAGGCCCAGCGCCGATGTATGGAACGCTGGCATCTGAGTGCGCATCTTAACAACTTCCCGTCGTGCTGAACTCATAGTTCCGAGGTTTTTATACATCACACTGGATTTTCCACAATCCCGCTGTCTGTAAAGGGGCATTTTTACTTCTTCCTTCCATCCAAACTCTTCCTGTTTCCCTTACTTGCCCTGTTCAGTGGCTAGAAACGCCAGCTGAATACGTGTGGGGGGAGCAGGCAGCCTGCCTGGTGCCCAGTCCCAGAGAAAAAGGCATCGCGTGTGCCGAGGGTGATGCCAGCCAGGGGCTCTGACAAAGGATTTCTGCAAGATTAAAGTGATTCCCTCCATTCTCGTCAGGGATCGTCCTGGACACTGGAGATGACTCACAGATTCTATCTCCGTTTTCAACCCAACAGCTAGGCAGCTCCTAAAATGGAAAGGAAAACTGAAGGTGATAGGACCCGGCCTGACAGCCAGGAGCCCATGTGGCCAGCACCCTTCCACTCTGTCGCCTGCTCCCTGGCAGGAGGCTGTGAGCTGCCAGTGGAGAGCCCACCGGGCAGGGGAGGGGAAAGGCCTCGAACCAAAGCCCAGGAACTGAGCCTAAGTCCATGAAGCACCGAGTTCTGTCAACAGCCCCAGTGAGGCCTGAAGGTGACAGCCGCCTGGTGGGCCTCTGATTGCAGCCTTGAGAGGGACCCAGAACCAGGAGACCCAGCTAAGCTGCACCCAGATTCCCGACGACAGAAACTGAGACAATAAATGTTGTTGTTTTAAAAAACTGCCTCAAAATTTACATGACTACCACCAGTCCTATAGAAACGTGCAAAGACACAATGTGCGAGGATGCTCACTGTGGCACTTGACAATAGAAACCACCTGAAGACCTAAGCATGGATCAAACATTAGGGACTGACGGTATCCACACAAACGGATACTAGGTAAATGAGTTGCAAATCAGTCTGTTTCATTTTATTCAGTTTTGTAAAATGAAACACCCCCAAACCATCCTTGGCACAGATTACTGTACCAGTGTCCTGAGGAGGACGCCTTTCCTGTACAAAGTATCTGCACATGGGGCTTGGGCTGCGGTGCTCCCAGGTGGCCTGCACACCCGCTGGCACCAAGGGCTCACACTACTTGGTAAGAGGCTTTTAAAAAACTGAACATTTAATAATTTTTAAAAACTTGTTCTTAAGCCTTAAAAAAAGAAGACTCTCTATGGAGCCGCTGTTCCTCAGGGAAGACTGTGCATGAGAAGCAGCCACTGCCATGCAGCTGGCCCCTCGGTCACCCCTGCCACCCGCAGCCTGGCGATGGCCTCCTCCGACCACTATGGCGCTTTTAATGGCTCTTCCTACACTGACCTAAACCTCTTCTCGCTAATTCTCTCTTCCTTCCATTTACCTTTCCTTCTTTAAGTTTTATGAACCATAAGAATTAATACTCACTAATGATATGTGATATATCCATCTGTAAAAGGAAGTTCTGGAAACTGAAATGTATTCTATTATAAATAGACAATTCTTAAATTGGTCAAATGAAATAATCCTGATAATGCAACATTAAGCAGTTAACACGTCTTATTTAGACAAAATATGACATCACCTACACACACTGAAATGTACTTTAACAAAACAGGCTAAAAAAAACTAGATGTTTCTTCACGTACAGCAAATCTTACACAGTGATGTAAAGATTGAAAATAAATGTCTCAATTTCCTTCATATTCAAAAGTTACTGCAACCAGGCTCAATGTTAACAAGAAGCACATGCATGTCTGAAGTATACTGAAAATGCACGCACCTTTTCCACCACGATGAGGTCTCCGACGTGTATGTCTGCGCTCTGGACGGGGACTTTCCCTTGAAAAGAAGGGGAAGCACAGTCAGCGCCGAGACAGCAGCAGTTACACTCTCCTGATAAATACTTTGAAACCGCTTCAGGGGAGAGTTTTACACATGTATCTCTACTTACACTTTCAAATAAATATTTCAGATGGAGGCAGTCATGAACAATCACCTTCTCTTAGTTAGCTCCCAAATACAATTAACCACCCTGATAAAAACCGTGTGGGAACGTGGAAGACAATTCCATCCGGAAGGTTTCTCCCAAATCTGCTGTTATTTCAGGTGCGAGTCAAGTTTCCATGATCGGAAACATCACTAAATAAAATAATATGACTGAAACTGAGTCACACTGAGATGTAAGGTTCCCACTCACCCTGTGAACGGCACTGACTGGCACATAACTAGCGAAAAGCAGGGACGGAGAAGGTCAGTGAGAACACACCCTCCACCAGCAGCTTTACACACAGGTCAGGACCAAAGTGTTAGGATGGAAAGTGGTTCTTTTCCACGCATCCTGTGCAGACTCCTAAAGTACTTACCTAATAGCTGGTGCGCTGATCATGTGGAACAGTTGATATACAACAGTTACATGACACACAGTAGACAAAACCTCACAGAGGTGATTAGAAACACCCAGTTCCCTCTCTCCCTGTGTCTCTGGGCCCAGCCTCGGCCCTTTCTCCCTCCGTCTCTGTTTCTCACCCCTCTCCCCCCGTCTTGGGGATCTCCTGCCCCCGTCCATCTACTTTTTAGTACCAGCAACAACCTTGTGGGTCTCTTCACATTTTTGTAACTACTGTTTTAATATGGGGAAAGGTACATTTCTTTTACATTCAGTTTATTCTGAAAACTAACAGAACAGAGGTAAGTTCATTCTATCCCTAATCAGTTAAAATGGGTCAATAAATAAATAAATAAATAAAAATAAAATGGTTCAAATGTCATAATGGACTAAAGAAAATGTAACCATATAAACCACATCTAATGAGCAAGACACAGCTATTATCCAATAAGTATGGAAATATATTAATTATGTCCCAATAAACACACATAGATAAGAGTGGGAGATAATTAAGCAACTTTTTAAAGGAACTGATCACATGTGAGCACTGCAGAAGGTGAGCATCAGACTAATAGGCAGATGGCAGGGCGCATCTGCGTCATCCGGGTGGCAGCGGCACTGTCCCCCAACTCTCTGGACGCTTTAAGTGGGTGTGGAGGTAGGAGCCGAATTTAACACAGACTATGAAGCAAAGTGGACAGTTAGGAAATAAGCAATGAATGCATTTATTTATAGACATAAATACACTATTTAAAAAGAAATCTATAATCTGAAAACCCCCCACAAAATATTGCTGAGAAAAATGTAAAAGAACTAAATAAAGGGAGAGATATATCTCATCCATGGGTCAGAAGACTTAATATTATTAAGATGTCATTTCTCCCCCAAATTTACCTATAGATTCAATGCAATCCCAATGAAAATCCCAGCAGGCTTTTATGGAAATGGATGCTAAGTCATATAAAAGCCCAAAGGACCTAGACTAGCAAAATCGTGGAAATAGAAACAACGTTGGAGGGCAAACGGTCCCTGATTTGAAGAATCAGTATAAAGCGGTAGTAATCCAAAGAGTATGGGATTAGCATAAAGACAGACAAATAGATCAATGGAGTGAAAGAGAGTCTAGAGATAAACAACACACGAAGGACAACTGATTTTTGACAAAAGTGCATGGTAATGCCGTGAGAAAGAATTACTATTTCCAAAAATGGGGCCAGAAACAACGCGACACCCACATGCACAAGGAGTACTCAGTACACACATTCCTTGTACCGACACAAAAATTTACTCAGCACGGGCACATGTCATGCAAACCAAAAACTGAAAACAGGAGACACAGCAGGACTCCTCTGTGAGCCTGACTAGGTAAAGAGTTCTTACACAGGACATCTCTGTGAGCCTGACGAGGCTGAGAGTCCTTAGACAAGACACCGCAGCACTCATAAAAAATGACGCACTGGACTTCATCAACTAGAACAGCACAGGGGCAAGAAAGCGCAGAGGTGTGAGATGGATGGACTGGTGTCTGAAACTGAGAGGAAGCTGCAAAGACAGGAAGGGATCCTCCCTCCAGGTAAGTGGCCCCCAGGCTATGGAGAAGCAGCCACCACAGAGGAAGCAGAACCCTCGGAGGGGAGCCACTCTCTGTGGAGATGGAGATGAAAGGTGGGTGAGGAAGGAACCCGCATCCCAAGGCGCAGTGAGAAGGGCAAGGGCAGAGTGAGGATGCTCATAGTAACTACAACCCACAAGACAAACGTCTGAGGCTCCAGAAGGTCAGTGATGGTTACAAAGACCAAGGTCACGGAGGCTGGTTCTGGGCACACAGGCCCAGACTGCTCTGGCTGACACCAGCCCTGCGGACGCTGGGCAGGCACATAGGGTTCCGCTTGACGTCACTTGGGCTCACGGCTCTCTTCCCCAGGACATGCTGGGGATAAGAGTGGGCATGAAATAGGCAAAGCCCTACCCTCAAGGAACTTACATTCCAGTCAGATGAAGTACAGCAGAGTGAAATAAAATACATCACCAAGAATGGTAAAAATCACAGCCTAGGAAATAAAAAAAAGAAATACTACAGTCTAGGGAAAGGGTTACAAAGCATCTTGCCAAAAGTAACCAATTTTTACTCTTAAACATTCACTAACAATAACCAAAGATGTTTTTAAAAACATTCTTTAGCAATAACAAAAAAAACTAAAATGCTCAAATTCAACAGAATCAATTCTTTCTCCTGTTCTATCAGTAAGAAAGTAATTAGCTTTAGGAAGAACACTGAAACAATAATAGACTACAGTGTGGTGAGAAACACTTAAAGATAAAGCAGTGTTATTCACTGGATCAACGGTGCTAGCCAACCACGTCCCCGCTAGTCTCACTAGCTAATACACTGCACACCACCTGCGTAATGACCCTGAGTCCAGAGCTGCCCACAGCGGCTACCCACACAGGCTCTGCCGCCCACCAATGTGCAGAACTAAATGCTGAAGTAAGTATCCATAGCTCTTCACTGCATTCTCCAGATAAATATCTGGTAGGAAACTATATAATTTGAAAAATTTAATGAGTACCTCAAAGTTAACTATTTTATCAACTAAAAGATACAAATAAACATTACATGGTATTAGCAGATAGAGGGCATCCCTCAGTGTCTTGGTCAAGCCCACCCCTGTCTGCCTATGGGAAGTCTGTAGTCTTTGTTTTCTGCAGCTAGACAGGCCTCTTAAATATCCACGAAAGGTCAGGACACAAAACACTGTTAATACACATGGGTCTAATACTCTTGGCGACTGAAGTCAGAAGACGTACGATGCAGCGGTCTCCCTCTCATGGGCCTACGAGTGCACACCACCACCACCACAGTCCTACAACTGTGTGGTCAGCCAGCACCAAGAGGGGCACGAAGCAGCCTTAGTTTGAAACTGTCCGTAGGCCCTGGTTCCTCTAAGCCTTCAATAACCTACACGGTGTGGTGGCCTCCTTCCCAGCGCTCCCGAGTGTTTGAGCCCCGGTGGGAGGAGGAATCAGCAGACGAGACAGCAGGCCTGTTCCAGGCTCCTGCTGAGGGCTCCACGTCGCTGGTCCAATGCAGGAGCAGAAAGAAAATGGCCCAATAACCTTGTGTTTATAGGGTCTCCTATTTCTCAAGAAAATAAGAAAAAAAATGGAAAAGTAACCAGTGGAGAAAGAGGAAAGGGGGGAGGGAGGAGACGTTTCCCAAGCCACCAGAACGTTCTATGAGAAATATTACTTGGAGCTGGCATAGGACCTGGATGTATCAGCGAGGCAGAACAGAAAGCAGAGGGGAGGCCCGAACGAATCTAGGTCTCTCTCAAAGGTCTGAGAAAGGAACGTAATTACTGGTTTTAAAGTAACTAATTTACCATTTGGGAAAAAGTTAGATTCCCTTCCCCATGTAACACCTACTTTAAATGTAAAATTGCAACACTGTTAGAAAATCAAATACCTACATTATATTGGGATTGAAAGAACTGAGGTTAAAATAACAACTACAAACAAAAAGATCAAAAGATTTGCAGCAATAAAAATTATAAATTTATCTACATCTAAAAAATGATTTAAAAAATCAGTCGAAGATAAAAACATTTGCTGTCCTAAATCTCTCTCATGAAGAAACTATAATAAGGTAAAAATGGAAACAGGAAAAGTGAGTAAACTTTTACGAAAGATAAAAAGCGAGTGATGAACGGTTAACAGGTAAGCAGCAACCAGGCAGAGGGCACGTCTCCCGATCAGGCTGGCAAGTAGAGCGTCTATCCCCACAGGCAGGACCCGGGGAGAGGGCGGGGAGGGTGCTGTGCCGCCTCGCCGGCAGCACGGTGACAACACCCATCAGGCTGAAAACGTCTCATCTCTTACTGAAGTTCCTTGTTTACTAAACTATTGCACTGACTGAGTGAGCCTCAGGAAGCAGCAGTGCACGCGGAGCTGAGGCCAACGGCTGGCGGCACCACCGGAGGAACACTGGCGCCACGCACGCGCCCACGCACGCGCCCATNACATCTAAAAAATGATTTAAAAAATCAGTCGAAGATAAAAACATTTGCTGTCCTAAATCTCTCTCATGAAGAAACTATAATAAGGTAAAAATGGAAACAGGAAAAGTGAGTAAACTTTTACGAAAGATAAAAAGCGAGTGATGAACGGTTAACAGGTAAGCAGCAACCAGGCAGAGGGCACGTCTCCCGATCAGGCTGGCAAGTAGAGCGTCTATCCCCACAGGCAGGACCCGGGGAGAGGGCGGGGAGGGTGCTGTGCCGCCTCGCCGGCAGCACGGTGACAACACCCATCAGGCTGAAAACGTCTCATCTCTTACTGAAGTTCCTTGTTTACTAAACTATTGCACTGACTGAGTGAGCCTCAGGAAGCAGCAGTGCACGCGGAGCTGAGGCCAACGGCTGGCGGCACCACCGGAGGAACACTGGCGCCACGCACGCGCCCATGCACGCGCCCATGCGCGCGCACACACACACACACACACACACACACACACACACACACACAGTATCCTGAAAAGATGAATTCACAGGTCCTGGTAGGGTGGCCTGGGAAACATGCTGGCCACGTGGTAATGGGTGTCTACGTCTACTCCTGCATACACGAACCTAGTCTTGAGCGTACGCACTTGGCCCCGAGAACTAAACAAATGAGATAATAAATCTAAAGTGTGTGTTTGTGCCTGACATATATAACAGGCAATAAGTATCACTGTATAGTAAGAATGCAATAATGTGCACTGAATATTCCTGAATAAACACTGGAATGGATTCTTTTCAAATGCTGCTCAGACCAGACAAGAAGGATGCCTTACGTCTACTTCACAACAGGGAGGAGACGAGATGAATGTGTGAGAAGCTGAGTGTGTGCACCAAAGCACCGCTCTGACTACATAAAACAAAACGCCCACAGATGCCTTCCCGATATCCAGGGCTGTATTTCATCTGCGCTGTCAAGAGTGGACGAACGAGAGACGACAGCACATCAATAACGTGCAGGGGCCATCGCCGCTCCTCTGCATACGGATCACGGCAATCAACTCTGATTACTTCCCAGGGCGTCAGCTGCTAAGCGCTTTCTGATGGGGAAATTCAGCTGACACTGGAGCATACTATTAAAAAACTATCTTCAGATATGACTGTCACAAAAGGAAACCCTTCTTGCCAAGTAGAAAACATAGTAACTCATAAAACCAGTTACATTTACGATTCCCTGTCAAAGTGTGTACAATGCACAGACGATATATGAAGGCACTGAAGAGGGGTTTAAACATTTCGTGATTTTTAAAGGAATAATTACAACTCACAAATGAAGTAGGCTTCACTATAAGATGACAGAATTTCAGGAGACATTTTATAATTTATACCTGTAAGAGGAGAGAGGACGACACTGACAAGCAGCAGCAGCACAGTGCTGACGGGATAGCCCAGGCCCAGAGCCACGGGAGCCGAGACCCAGTCAGTGCTCCCAGTGAGTGAGGACTTGCTTGCAAGGAGACTGGACCACGAGAAACACCTACACACGGAAACGCTCTCACACAGTCTCCCCCCCACGATTTACATATGGTTCAAGGACAGCAGGCTTGCTTCTCTCTCTCTCTCATTTGAATACTTGAAAACAAAATAGACAACAAAATGCCAGAACTATTACAAGAAATACCTAAGATATACTGGAAAGCAATTATCACACACACACAAAGAACAGAATTAATTCCATTTTAGTAAGTTCCATTTTTAAATGTAATGTTTCATGTTAGCTTTAGGTTTAACCTTGGAAAATGCATGGATAGTGGTTGACATGACTCAGCCCTGCTGAGACTTGGTAGCTGATTAAAACAAATACGACCTCTAGCCTGTGCTGCCTGCTAGAAGAGTGCATGAGCTCTTTAAGTAGCACAGTTCAGGATGTATTCATATTTGAATCCCATGAGGTTAGCACAGAGCCTAACACATAGTGAGCACTTAGTAAATATTTGTGGAATTGAATTGTGAACTAGCCAACTGGATAATTACCAAGGCATACAATTTATACATCTCTCCTTAGAAGTAGGAAAAAATATAGCATTGACTCCAAGAATCTGAAATTAGAATGGCCACGCAATTCAAACTCTTTATCAGGAATTTTGCAAAAGCTGCCAACGTGCAGGAGCACCTGTTCCGCGCTCCCCTCCCTACCACTGCCTCCGACACGGTCCACTGGGAGACAGTGAATAATAAATGCAGCCATCAACAGGAGGAGAGAGGAGAAGTAGTGGCAGACATGGAAAACTCGCACATAAGAGCAGCTTCTCAGGCAATAAAACAAAGAGCTAACTAAAGTCCGCCATGTTCACCAAGACCACCTATCAGTCAGAGTAGCCTCTGCTTCCAAACAAAGCACCTTTAAGACATTAGCAGACTTTAAGAAAACAACTAGAGAACATTTCCCAGTGCACTCTACTGGAATGTGCTCAAGAACTCCTAACATAACAAGTTCCAATGTGGCAAATACGACACAATGAACCAATCACACAAGGGAGCAGCCATCAATGCCGTTCAGAGAACAGGTAACTGTGAAATACTGGAAATTAAGGAGCTGAGCAGCAAACATTCTTGACAACAGAATAAATTGCAAACTATGCCCGATAAGCATAGCCCTGTGTTTTTTACATTCTGGACTTTACTTGTCTCACTTGCATTGGGATAACTGGCCAGGAAGCGAGGTGCGCAGGTGAAGGAACACTGAGCTCCACCAAACACCTGACTCAGGGTAGGTTACTCAGCACATTCAGTGTCCTAAGACCAACTCCATCAGATTCTGAAACACTCATCACCATCGCAGGGAACCCCACGCCCACTCCCCTACTTCCCCAACACTCCTCACCACCGCAGGGACCCTCACACCCACTCCCCTACTTCCCCAGGCACAGCAACCACACCTGCACTCATCTCGATCCCAGCACCCTCTGCACATTCTGTGAATGAAGCCGTACAGTGTGTGGCCGTTTGTGTCTAGCTTCTTTCACACAGCATGGTAGCCTCAAGGTTCATGCTGTTATTTCATGTGTCATTTTAATCAAGTGTTGTGGTTTAATAATATTCCAGTGCACGAACATACTACAACTCTGCTCATCCATTCATCTGCTGATGGACACGTGGGCTGTTACCACGTTTGGTGACTGTAAATAGTGCCTCAGTGAACACGGGTGTGTGTGTATTTGCTTGAGTCCCTGTTTCAGTTGTTTATCTGAGAGTGCCTTAATTTCTTCCTCATTTATGAATGATAGTTTTACTGGATATAGAATTCTTTTTTTCTTTTTTAAAAATATATCTTTATTGATTTCAGAGAGAAGGGAGAGGGAGAGAGAGAGAGATAGAACCATCAATGATGAGAGAGTCACTGATCGATTGCAGCCCACAACCTGGGCATGTGCCCTGACCGGGAATCGAACCCTGATCGCCTGGATCCTAGGTCGATGCTCAACCGGTGAGCCACACCCGGCTGGGCTGGATGTAGAATTCTTGATGGAGTGTTTTTCCTTTTACTATATTTTTAAAATAGTAAATATCACGGTGTCCCTCCTGCTGATACCTCATCTTCTTACTGGAGACCCCTCCTATGCGACGAGTGGCTGCTCTGTGTCCTCTTGGTTCTTGGGTTTCCACAGTCTGACTACGATGTGTCCCAGAGTGGCTCTCCATAGACTTGCCTTCCCAGAGGATAACTGAACTTCCTGAATCTATAGGTTCATGTCCTTCGTCACGTTCAGGAAGTTAAAGGCTATTATTCTGTCAAATCTCTCTCTGTCCTGTCTCTCTCCTCCGCTCCAAAGATCCCACTATGTACACGTTAGCACACTTGCTGCCACACGTCTCCTAAGACCTATTCACTTTTCTAATTCTTCCTTCTGCTCCTCAGACTGGACACTTCACAGGACCCAGGTTCAAGTTCACAGATAGTTTCTTCTGCAGGCTCTAATCTGCTACTGACATGTGCTGGTGATTTTTTTCTTTTAATTTATTGTTCTTTTCAGCTCCAGAATTTTCATTTTGTTTCTTTTTCAATCATCTCTATACTTTTACTGACATTCTGTACTTGTCAATACATCATTCCTTTCCTAATTCAGCTCCTTGAGCACATTTAAGGATTTAGTCGCTGTCTATTAAGTCCTCAGACACAATGTTTCTTCATGTCTTTCGTGAATAGGCCACGCTTTGTTTCTTGGCATATGCTGTAGCTGTATGTTTAGTGACTTTTCCAAACTCATTTTTGTAAAGTGTATTCTCTGTCACATGTGCTCTCTGAAAGAGATTTCCTTGCATGTAAGAGAAGGGAAGGAGGGAAAGGAGGAGAGAGGGGAGGAAAGAGAGG